ACATAAATGAGCCCATGAAGTCGCTCGTTATGCCAAGATCTGCAGCATGCAGAAAGTCGACTTTACAGTTTTCCGTGCCAAACCCAGGAATCGAGAACAGCTTGGAGATAAATTTATCTTCTTGCCGCTGCCGCAGAAAAAAATCCATACTGGAGATCAGAGGATACCTATCGAGATCATTACTTTAAACTTGCTTTAATCTACTAACCAAACAAAAACAAGTAATAATGCTGCCCAGGGCACTTCTCCAAGGTTTGATCCTGAAACTTTTTGAAGTCGTCTTTCGTACAGTTGCATCGCCAACATATATGCCCTTTGCTGGACCAGGACGGAAAATCCAGAATTTCCTTGTAGGCACTCCAATCAGCTCGGAGCTCTGCCAGACATCCTGTCAAGCCGATAGCTTCCAACTTCCGTTTCTTTCTATAGGCATCCTCCGGACCAAAGTCGGCCCCGTCATGCCTGCATGCTGGAAATTGCCCCACCATGAGGCAGCCAAAAGACCAACGGAGTACGTCGAAGACGCACTCGTAGGTTTGCTTCTTTGCTGCGAACTCTTTTGGAAAAGCCGCAATGGGAAGCCGCATTGTTGAGTCGCAGAGGACATTGAGGACCACCGTCTCCAGCGACTGACTTCTGTCCGAATTGAAAGGAACAGCATCCACCCAAAGGCCAGTGAGCAATGTCTCAGCTGCATCGAGGCCGAAATTATGCATTTTCTCCAAATGCAGCTGCAGATCGGCCCTGTTTCGCAAAAGCGCTTGCTGCCTGGACATGAGCTCCTCTGGCTCGTTCAGCTTCAAAAGACTGTGTACCAGCTCATGCGGTAGAAGCATGGAAAGCTCCTGGGTCTCGTTTTTTTGCTTGCCGCGGTTGTAAGAGACCGCTTTGAAAGAATATACCGGTGGCCATTTCGTGTTTCGAAAAGTCTTGCGAAGCAAGTCGCGAGCCTGGTTGCCGTGTTGCCGATTGACGGCCAAGTCGCCTATGTGAGCCGCACCGGCCAGGTTCGCATTCTCGAACATCCGAGCTGAACGTTGGGCAGACAGATTATTGCCCAAGAAGGCATCGAGCATATCGTGTCTGAACCGCTTGTCTTCCGGTATATCTGCCAAGGCCTCATCCGGTAGAGACCTCTTGTTGAACATCTTTGCGAGGTTGAAATCTCGCTAAAATCATCTCCTGCCCAGGAGATCACAAAAATAGCAGAGCTTACGAAACTGTTCTGCCCATGAACGGGTCCCCCTGCCTCGCAGCAGTCCAAGAAGATCCTGCCTGCAGGGCCCGCTAACTGTTTGCATGTTGGATGGCAAAGAGTAGATGCAAATGCATTGTGTGCCTGCATGCAAAAATTCTTCTATAGCTGCTCTGTTTTCCTCGCTGTTGGGCCGTCCTGAGCGAGCTGAAAGTCTCAAGATGCACCCGAAAGTGCCTGCACGTTTTTCGGTGCCCTGGCGAGCTGCAGAACAAAAAGCGAACAAGAGCTACTCAACCCATGTACAAACCATGCCTATGTCTATTCCAAAACATGTACAGAAACAAGCCCGCCAGAAACCTCAGAACTTCTAGCCTGCTGCCGTTCAGTCAACGCCTGCCCTTCAGTCGGTACCGAGGAGCTGCTTCGTCTGCTTGATGATCTGGCCCGAGGCCTTCTGATGGATGCCGCATTGATCGACGATCTTGTTCACCTGGGCGACCTTCTCCTGGTAGTCGCCGGTCTTGTCGTTGGGAAGCCCTTCGGCCAAGCTTGCACGGACCTCCTTGAGAAACTCTTCCAAAACCTGCACGGCTGTACCAACTT